GGAGAGAGGGGGGGAGGGAGGGAGAGTTTAAGTTATATAATAGTGGAAATAACAAGGGGAAATAGGCATTGTTGTTCCATATTTTGCTAGTGTTCATAGCATGTTTAGTTGAACTTAAAGAGTTTACTTTTAAGTGAAATCTTTGTTTTAGTATAAATAGTTTAGGTTGATTAAAATCTAAAAAGGGAAGATATTAATTTTAATGGCAATGTGAAAAGTTACTTTCAGTAAGGAATTTTTTTAACTTAAAAGTAAGAAAAAATTAACATATCAAACATGTTTAGAACCTATGGCAATTCTTCTTTTCTTTCACCAAGAATGGTTGCCAACATTTGTTATTTGGTTTTTACTAATAGCTTGAATTCCTTTGTTCACCAAGTTTAAAACAGCTTTAGCATTGCTGAATAGTATCCCTGAGACACCGTCAAGCATGTCAACTCTATCTATCAGCATGTTAAAAAGTATGCTTTAGGTAATCATTTGAAATTATTTTTCACAGACACAATAGGTCCTGCTGATGTTGGGCTTGATGATGGAAACAAAGAGAATGATAGAGGTCATGGTCCTCTTGGAATTAAGCTATTCAACAGAGCAAGTCGATGGGCTCAGCCAATAACTTACGTCGATTTGCATGAGGGTGAAAATTTCACAGTAAGCTTTCACTAATCTTCAGCTATCTTTTACATATGAAATATGTCAACGTCTTCTTTCAGATTTTAAGTTAGTATTTGTCATGTTTATTGTGCTTTTATATCTGATGCTAGACTTACCATCATCTTCAAAGCTGTAGCTACTAAAATAGTCCTCCTATGAAGTTCTATTCATGAACTTTCCGTCTTGTGAACATGGATATCCTTAGAATTGATTGCTATCTTCACATAGATTATATACAATTGTAGCTTCTAGAGAAAGCTGCTGTTACCAAAAAAATCGGGGAGAAAGACATAAATTTCTACTCTCTAAAAAGCTGCATGTGCAATTCTTTGAACGGGGTATCCAATGTATTGGGAAGAAGCTTAATCATCTCATATCATTTTTTGGGTGGAAATCTTTACTAGAGAGAAAAAGCATTTGGTCACTGTTTCCATATGATGCTCATATACCGAACCCTACAAAAATTTGAATAGCACAGAACCCAAAAGAGAGAGCAATATTAGATTTTGGTGAAAATTGTGAATGAGAAGGTTGGGCTGTGGGTGTTATTATTGCTATTTTCTTAGGACTTTCTAGCAAGTGACATATATTTGATGATAGTAGCTGAAGGAGGCTTTTCTATCAGCTCCCACACTCTTTCTGACACTAACTTCATCAAAAATCATAGCAGGAACAAACATGTGTGCCATACCAACTGTCATCTATTATCTGTGCTGCATATAAATTGTCACTAGATTGATTAAGATAAACTCTGTTACGGGCTGTTTCTGTACAAGATCAAAACATTTCTGTGTGCAAAACCCCTTAGTTGTCGTATTTCAGTCATTTTGACTTTCAATGCATTTTGTCCTTTGTCCATTCCCCCCTTTACTGGACGATTTCGAAAATTTTCTATGGAAATCCGTACTTTTAGAGCAAACATCGTTTGTTGGTTGTATATTGTCCTTTAATCTTCTAGATTTCATTTTGACTGTTTTACATATCTTTTAAAATATGGCTGACTTGATGTTTGGTATTTTTTTCCAAATAAAAAGGAACTTAGAAATGTCATAGAGAATAAGTAAAATTGGAGTTCTTCAGATGTTTCGATAGTATTTTGAGACTGGTTAAATAAGGAATGATATTAAAAATGCAGATGTGTATGTTTTGCTTCCCTGCTTCCTCAGTTATTCCTCTTCATGATCATCCTGGCATGACCGTATTGAGCAAAGTTCTATATGGTTCTTTGCACGTGAAAGCATATGATTGGATTGAGCCGGCCAACATCCAGAAAATCAAGGGAGCCGGTCCTGCTACAGGTCCAATTCTGAACTTATTTGAATTATAAATTAGTTTCAAATTTTTTTACCACATTTGTTTCTTCTTACATGAATACCCCATGAAATTTTTTTACTCCTATGACAACTTTTTCGCTGCATGGAATTTAAAATTGCATTGAGAACTAGACCCAGTAGCCTACCAAATTAGTTCTCGTGACTTTTAAAGACACGACTTCACAAAATACTCAAGAATTTCTATTAACTACAGAATTTTCAGTATTTTTCAAAATACTTGACCAAATACTCGTGGTACAGTGAAAGATTTATGGTCATTTGAACTGGAAAATGGTTTTAAAAATTTTCGAAGGGACTCTATTATTGGTGGAATAAAAGAGCAAAACACCTTTAAATGGGGACAACCTCAAGTCTAATAAAATTTTAGAAGTTATTCTAATATATTTGCTTCTTCTCTTATATATTTGCTTCTTCTTGATCCTTCTATTACCTGCATCAAATACTTGTCCCCAGAAAAAGGAAAAAGAGATCCAGTCCAGAAATATTTGGAAATTACTATAATACAGCTTCAACTGATTGTAGAGTAATACGCGTTAATTTTACCTGATGAATGTGTATTTCCTTGATTTATTTGAATCTGAAACAATAAGAAACATAAGTTGATGGCTTGGGAAGTTAGGAAGAAAATCCTACAATCGTACATATCTAATGTTGGATATGTTTAGAAAATGTAAAGGACGATGGGCATAATATATTAGGGCCTGTTTGATTTACCACATTTTCCATGGAAAATATATTCCATTTTCCCCCTTTTTGGCTTGTTTGATTGCATATTTTTCTTGGCAATTCCTTTTCCCTCTTTCCCCGCACACGTGAACAATTTCCTTGGTTTTGTGGAAAACAACCATCTTCTTCTTTTATTGTTATTATTATTTTATTTTATTGGCAATGAAAACAAATTTTATCCACAATTGTAACAACTTTTTTTTCCTTTAATTGACAATTTTTATAAAAAACAAAGTCAAACGAACAGCAAAAGATATAAAATTTCAACATTTTTCAGGTGAAAAATTATATCAATCAAACATATTTAATTGACAATTTTTAAGAAAACAAATTTTAGGCAATTCAATTCCCTGAAATTCGTTTTCTTTCCATCCAAATTCCATTCTTGCAATTAAACGATCCTTAATGTAAAATATCCTCTTCAAACACCCATTGATTTTGTTAGGGCATTGAAAACATTTAAGTTCCCTCTGCAAAACTGGGTTTGAAAAGCCTTAAATATATGGTCATTGTAATTATAAAGTGGTACTACTCGATTCTACTGCAAATTTCATTTTTCTTTGGAGCCTTGAGTGAACAAGTTAAATGAGATCACAGCATAATGATGTAACAAGATATAAATATATTTATAATGAAAGCACGTGATCACTGAAGGGGGCATGATTGGTTGGGAGAAATGGATAGCATAGCAGTACACAGTATTAAGAACACCACCAAAGGAAGACACTATTGGGAACTTGGCGTCAAAACACAAGTTCAACATATGCATGACCGCTGGTGATTGTAGAGAGCTAATCATATACACAGCTCCACACAAGTGCTTTTATATAATGCAGCACTTCAACAGTCCGGTTATGTACCACCACATTTCCTTTACTTTTTTCAGCCCTTTTCATTTAATATGGTTTTTACAAGCTGTACCCAAAATGACAAATACAAACTCAGTTTTTTTGTAATCATTTTCCAGTTGTTTGTAAACTCCTTTCATATGGAAATGATTAATATAATTCAATTTTTCACTATAATTGAAGTGATGAACTAACTACACCACAGTGATAACATTGGTCATTTTCTATCATTGATGACCCTTTTTTTTATAGGTAATCAGATAATTTTATAATCTATCATGGATGACTGAAACTTCAAAAGGAAAAAAGAGAAATGTGACAGCTAAGCTGATAATTTGTTTATTGTTCATTAATCCTTGATGTCTAATTCTGATAACTTGTCGTCTGAAGTTTAATTATTTCTAATTGGTTTCCAGTGAGATTGGCTAAATTGGCAGTCGATGAAGTTCTGACAGCACCGTGCAGTACATCTGTTCTGTACCCAAAGAGTGGAGGGAATCTGCACTCTTTTACTGCAATAACTCCTTGTGCTGTGCTTGACATCCTTGCACCTCCTTACGATGAAGTTGCTGGTAGGAAATGTACGTACTACCAAGATTATCCCTGCAACAGCTTCCGTAAGTAACTCACTCGTCTATATAACCAACTTAAAAATTGGTTTAGAAGTGGACAAAGCCACTAGACTTTAATTGAATTTTAAATTTTGCAGCGACAGGAGAGGATGGACATGAGAATGGTGTTGAAAACGTGGAGTATGCGTGGCTTGCGGAGATCAACACGCCGGAGGATCTGTATATGCGTTCGGGTGTGTATGAGGGTCCACCCATCCAGACTTGATAGTCTTTGAAAGGTTCACTATTATGAATTTTAGAGTAACAACCTTCAACATATTCTTGGTGCTTTGTCTCTATGGAAGGATGTATTGTATAGGATTCAACAATATTATGGAAGAATATCAAGTTTAAATCTATTCTATTGTACCATCTGCATTATGTAGTACTACATGCGCTGAAATCCTAAGTATGCTTAAAAGTTACAGATTCTTTTCAACTTATTTTTGAATTAAGTGTGCCTAAACGCTTAAAAAACCTATGGTACTACATTTCTGAGGAAACATATGGAAACTAGAAATTTGTTTTATGGGTTTGTAACAAGACTGGTTCTCATGATGAGCCTTCGACATTCATTTTGCTTGTCTATAAAATCTGACTTTCGGTTGAATTTATCATTTTAAAGGAGCTCCCCTTTTAAACAAAAAATAAATAATAAATAAATAAATAATTACAACAAAAACTTGTATACAAATGAATGATAGAAACCCGTTATTAAATCTTGATAATCTACAAAGCTTGCATTCAGTCGCTGCGCAATCGCAGATATATCAGACAACTAAAGAAATGAACAGTCTCTACTCTTTGCCACAAAAATAAAGTACCATCTGTAAACTGCAGCTAAAATTACTTTTCTGAGCAACAAAAAAAAGCAAAAACAGCTACTCGAACATTGAAGGACTTCCAAAAGTGCAGCAAAAAGCCTTCTTATTTTTTTTTTTGCGTGGATGGAAGATTTCGAACTTGCTCCCAAAATTGTAAATAGCTTAGCCAAGCTATTTTCCACCAACATTCTTTCTCCTAGCCTCTTCATGGTCCATGATGCCAACAGATGTGGTCAGTACAATGTATCCAAACTGAAAAGTAAAATGAGTCAAACAATTGAAAAAAGATATATTTAAGGAAGGAAAGTCAAATAATGAAATTCAATTTTCTGGACAGCAATTTGTATTCACTTGGGATTGGCAGAAGAATAATGTTATTTATATATAAGGAGTTACATAATAATTTACGTACTTAGAAGGTGTCAAAAAGAGGGGGGGAATTTTATTTTTCTTTTTTTATTGAAAAAATCATGATCCAATCATGTTTCACCACATCATGTGAATGTAAATTATTATGTACATATACCACAACTGTTGACAAAATACCATTCTACATCTGATGTAGCAAGTTAGTATTTTTCGCAGTCTAATTATCATACTAAGTACAGGTAGCTCGACGGGAATTGATGGATGAAATGAGTTACAACCATACATAATAATCACATTTCTTGATAAGCCGATGAGAAAGCTATTTGGGGAAGGAAAAGTCTACATGTACATAACTATTGTACATGATGTTGTCCATAATGTGATGCTGCAATCATCCAATTGTTGATGTGAAAGTGTGAGATTTGAATTAAAGGTTAGATCCAATGTCACATATAATTATGGACACCATTATATAAACAATTATGTACATGTAGTACTTCCTTTTGAGAAATGAGGATATACTATTTACAATCCACTTCAAGATATCTTATTGGACTTGGATTGAAATTTTTATCAAATACATACAGGTAACTTAATAAAAAGTTTGAATAAAAGATAGTATGTCCTCCAAAACAATATTTGATGAAATAAAGTTACACGTGCAGAACATGTATATCATCATATGGCCAAGCTAATAGCTCAATATTCACCAAGTAATCATCATCCAAATATTAACCTACAATATTTTTTTATACATTACCTGCCTAGAGGGAAGCGACCTTGCAGTCCACCCCTCAATTTCCTTGACACCAACATCAAAGTGAGGGCTGATGACTCCACATTTGTTCAAACTTTCATTTAGTTCGGCCACAATTTTTACTAGATCGGTGATCATCAACATACTCAAACTCTCCAATGTATCCTACAGAGATCATAGAGAATTAATGGTATAGTTAGAATATTACGTTTGTGTAAATGGACGAAGTAACACCACATAATGTTTCATATGCCATGCTTTTGCACAACTAAGAGAAACTTAATAATGACTTTGGAGGATGGTTGAATCATGACTTGACGCTTCCCTTGCTTCTCTGCATTGTACATGCTCTTAAGAGTGTCATTCAAGACATTAACTCTCACCATTTTTGCTTAAAGATCAAGCTGCATCATGATTAAGAACAAGTTATTAGATATCCTCATTCTAATTTATTTAATTGAGAAAAAAATCTTCAAGGCCAATGCTATCAAATATTAACAGAATAAAAACAAATAAACTAATTATAATTAGCATATAAATTACAGGCAAGTACATTCATCTTGCTGGGAATATTTGAGTAATTGCCTTGAGCATTGATAAAAGGAAATTCAACGAAGTATAATGGGCTTTTCTTGGTGTACATAATTTTTTGTACATCAAGATATCCCATATTCTCATGGAGTGGGGCCTGCTCGAATAAAATATTCGAGTGGGCCCCACCCCCATGTGAGCGATGTTGGGAAAAAATGGGTTGAATGGCTAACTTTGGCAAAAAAATTGAGTGAGACTCGGTTGGTTATTTTGGAAGTTTTAGATTGATTTGTGTTCTCCTCCATAAGAACATCAAAATCGTATATTTATTTGTCAAAAATAATGTTTGGGTGAATGAAAAATTGGAGTTCAAAGAGTGCCAATTGAAAGGAGTTTATGAGTTTGAGGGAAACCATTTAAGGTTTGTCCCACATAAAAAAATTATAAAAACAAATACTACTTTAAAAAAGATTGCATCATATGTAGTATAGAGACTTTCTCTACATGAATGAGCAGGGGGCAATTGAACGAAAATAAGCTTTGGACGTAGAAATTGACCCCTTGAAAGAGCCTACATATTGCTAAAAAAAATTCCTTCAACTGACCATTTAAATTCCAAAATTGTCAAAACTACAGTATTCATTGTCATTATTTACGAGTTAATGATATTCATAGTGTTGAGCATATATATACAACTCGATTTCTAGAAGAGAAAAAGAAGAGAAGCAACACAGTGCACACTTTCTACACAACTTTTCATACAGCATACAGTCTCGTGTCTATTCGAAATTTGTTTTGTAATATTGTTCTAACACAAGTTCTGTTCAGCATGGTAGCATTTGAGGTGCACAAATTCTACTGTTCCTCCGTTGTATCGTGGGGGACAGACATTGAATTAAACTTCAAGCCTACGGTGAGGGGACGAATCTGTTTTGAGGAAACTATGTTCACACATGTCTCGGTTAAAATTTTCCTTGCTTTCGGCGAATTAGTTTACTTGTTCTATTTTATTGGAATTCAATCTGTTATATTTTGGCTAAGTCGATTAATTTGTTCAGTTTATTGCAATTTAATCTGCTATATTTTGGATAATATCCAGATTCACTGCATATACAATATATACAAAATCGGTTTGTGCAAATTCGATATCAATATTACATATACGGTAAGTTGCTGAATGTACAGTAAACCGTTGCATATATAGTAAGCTACTATATATACGGTAAGCTACATATATATGGTAAGTTGCATATACGGTATGTGTCAATCAAGTAAGTTGCAAATTCGATATATGTTCATTCGGTATTCATTCATTAATATTTAGTCCAACAAATATATGAATACTTTAATGTACAAAAAATTATATACAAGTAGTGTTATCCAATTATAATAGAAACACATATTGTCACATATTGCCCACGTTTGGCCCCATTTTTTGAAGTAAGAATGGGTTGAATAATTTTTATTTTTTTTAAATGAGTGGATGAAAAAGAATTAAAAAATTTCGATTTACGTGTAATGTTATTTTATGGAAGATTGTGTGATTGAAAATATGAGAGAGAAAAATGAAATGTAATGAAATTTAATATAATGGAGGTCAACGGGAGCATTATATATAACGGTTTAAACAATTGGATGCCCCAAAATACCCAACAAAATTATAAAAAGTACAACACGTAATCAAAGAGTAAATTTAACCAATAATCACCGAACTTTACACTTGGTTACTACTTGCTCATTCATTTTTCACATGTTAGTGAATGCTCACTCATCTTTTCATATAATTACTCATTTATCACTCGTCTCTTCAAATAATTTGGTGACTTTTGCGGCAACTTTTCGACAACTTCCGACCACAAAGAATGTCGAATTTTGATACCGTTGAAAATCCCACGATGTCCTCTTTAATTACCACCCAAAAATCTCATTATAACTCAAAGGGATTCGATCGAAAAATTGCCTTAAAAGTCTCCCAAAATTTCTGAAAATCTGCCCAAATTTTCAGATTTTTTGGGCGACTTTAAAGGCAATTTTTTCGGCAACTTTCAAACATCAAAACAATCAAATTTTGATACCATTGGAAAGCCCACAATGTCCTCTTCAATTACCATCCAAAATTTCCCCATAACTCCAAAGGATTCGGTCAGAATAAAGTCACAAAGTCAGCATCCCGAACTTTGTCTAAATTTTCACCTTTTCGAGATGTTGACTTTGTGGGTTTATTCCGACCGAATCCTTTGGAGTTATGGGGAAATTTTGGATGGTAATTGAAGAGGACATTGTGGACTTTCCAATGGTATCAAAATTCGATAGTTTTGATGGTCGAAAGTTTCCGAAAAATCACCTTAAAAGTCGCCCAAAAAATCTGGAAATCTGGGCAGATTTTTAGAATTTTTGGGCAACTTTTAAGGCAATTTTCCGATCGAATCTCTTGGAGTTATAATGAGATTTTGGGTGGTAATTGAAGAGGACAATGTGGGCTTTCCAACGGTATCAAAATTCGACATTCTTTGTGGTCGGAAGTTGTCGAAAATTTACCGTAAAAGTCGTCCAATTATTTGAAGAGACGAGTGGTGAATGAGTAATTATATGAAAAATGAGTGAGCATTCAGTAACCTATGGAAGATGAGTGAGCAAGTAGTAACCAAGTGTAAAGTTCAGTGATTATTGGTTAAATTTACTCCGTAATCAAAAGAAAAAAAAGGATTCTATCTACTTCACATAAGCCAAAGAAAAAAACTATACAAAATATAAGCCTCAAGCAGAGTCCATTTCAAGAGTCCCTAAAACTATCTGATTCAAAAAATTTATATTAACAGTTCTAAATAAACAATGCCAATTCATTACATTATGCACACACATATCGACAAACAAATTCCGATATTTTTTTATAAAAATGTAGCTTACCTGAAAGCCTGTCGACAGAGAGATAAAAAAAAATCGCGGCCATAGAGAAATTAGGGTCTTCTCCTAGAGGCTTCCTGGAAAAAAAATGCCTGCAAGAAGCAGGATTCTCATGGTTGGTGAAAGCTCCAAGTCTGTTTACGAATCTGCCCTTGCATTAACAAGACAATGTCCAAAAATTAAAATCAGATTTTAAGTAAATTTTGATAAATATTGAAGATATGTGTAATTAAAAAATTGTAATTTCGTTAAATATATGATTAAAATTAATTATAAAATTTACTTTAAATTATAATTTAGATTTTAATCTCAATCAAATATGGTCGAATTTGATCTACTTAAATTTACTTTCTAAAGTTATTTATTTGCTAAACACGCTTTTACAAATTTACTTTTATTATTAATGAAAAATCCGTTTAAGCACAATCTATTAATCTAACATACTCTCTGTAAATTTGAGGCAAAAACATTGTTGTCACTCCATTTATGGACAAGCTTTTTATTTTAGTTGGCGCACTTCCTCATCTTGTTTCAGCTTAATTAATAATGTTATCGTTTTATCTTAATTATATCAATTTGGATATAATTTATAAATAGATTTATAAAATCTATCAAAATTAAATATTAATTTCAATCATGAATTTATAAAATACTACTCATTTTGTGGGGTTCACTATTGTTCCCATTTATAAATTTAACAAATGGTAGATCTTACGTTAATGATGTAATTGATTACGATACTTTTAAGTTGATTTGTTGAAGTCACATTTATAAATACGTTTTACAACAACCCACATTTTCTAAGAAGAATTGGTGGCTTGCTTCTCTACCAATCTTATTTACCACTTTTTCCGTGCTCGTTACATGTTTTTGACCTTTTTGAAGATAGCTTGGTTGCTTTTATCAAACATGTCAATATCGATTAAAATTGTCTTATATTATGCAAAAACTAGACCTTTCGCGCTATGTCTATCTCTTCTTAAAATTTGTCTTTTCATATATAAATTTAGTATATTTTTGATAAAATTTTGTTATTGTTTATAAACTGATCAAATCCTAATTTTATTTGCACGTTTGGTACGACTCGCAATTTTTATTTACTTTACCTACTTTTATTCATATAATTATAATTTATAATTCTTCAGGACAAGGGCGGTGAAGACCCTTAAGGTTGGGGTTCAACTTTTTTATAATTTATAATTTAATAAAAACTGTCTCAAATATGCTTTTAGATTTTTACCATTTAAAATAAATAAATAAATAAACGTAAAAAGGTGAAATTAAAATTGACTTTAAAAAATAAGCAACTCAATGGTAATTTTTTGCCCAAATCGTTAGAGAACCCCAACGTTTCTGTCTCATCGACCACGAACCGCCGTCTGCGGCGGCTAACGGCAGCTGCCTCCCTCTCAAGCTAACATCTTCTAATCCGCTGATTCTCGGCTAACTATTACTTTTCCAGCTTATCTTTCTGATTCACAGTCTTCTGTGTCCCAGTAAGTCTAGATTTTTCATTGATTAAATATTTTTTAAATAAAGCTTAAACTATGTAATTGGTTTTTTCTATACGTAGACACTGTTTATACAGTGAGTATTGACGTTAATTTTGGTTTGAAGGTATCAATGGAACCCATGGATATTGTTGGTAAAACAAAAGAGGATGCTTCGCTTCCTAAAGGTACGTTTTTTTCCCGTTTCTACGCAAATTTCGTGAAGTTGACTCTTCATATTTTCAATGTGACTTGCCTTTAATTTTAAAACTTCTCGGAAACAGCAGGGATTTCCCTATCACTATACCGAAGACTTCTTCTGAAGGTCCTAACAGCACATTACATTAGTCATGAAATAGCTTACTTCTCGAGGTGCCTTGGAGTATGTTATTAGTTGATAATGTAGTATTTATTGATAAGACTAAAAAGGGGTTATATAAGGTGGAATTCTGTAGTAGTAGGTATTAGGTTAAATGTGACCGATGACAATACATGCAATGCCACGGCAGTAATAGTGGGAATAAGAATAATTATGGAGTTTCCTTCCACCATCTTTTTGTCTTCACAAGTGATTTGTTTTGCTAATGATATCTTTTCAGCAACTATGACGAAAATTATTAAGGAGATGCTCCCACCTGACGTTCGTGTTGCAAGAGATGCTCAGGATCTTTTGATTGAATGTTGCGTAGGTATGTATTTTCAACCCTTTTTTTTTTTTTTTTTTTTT